AATGAAAAAACCTTGCAAGTGGCCTCACTGAGTCGACACATATTGAAATCAATACAATATTTTACCCAAGTGTGGGCTTAAAATTTGATGATTCAATTATGCATAGTTTGGGAAAGCAGTTTTCTTGAATTATCTATTTTTTTCCTTACAAAAGAAGTAAAGACACTAATGTTGAATCTTAACCTGAGATCTAAACTTCCCTTTGGGGTGTTTTATTTATAAACGAAACTAAACAAAAAGCTCAAACTTGTGTGACTCATTCTGTCAGCAGCTGTAGGCCATTTGGAATATAAAAGAATTATATAAGAACTGATTTTATTTTACAAAAATTGATTAGCCAAACTCCTGTGGTTTTCTAACCATACTGTGGAAAAATATGATTAGGGTAGCAATTCCTTCATCAAATGAATTTACTGTTAACATATTGAATTAGTGATCCTGTTAGCCACTATTCCAAGATTAGAAGGTAATTCTTTAAAACTGTGGAAATTCTCACATTCTGTCACTGTTAATTAGCCTTTCTTGTCCTCCAGAAAGATTTTCATTAAGGATTATCACAGTAGATTTAATATTTTTAAAAATTGCATTTTGGGGGGATTATTTCAATACCTTATATTCTCTGTCATCTGCAAATATTATTGTTCTTTTCTTTTCATTCCAGGGTCTTAAAGGGGTCGTCTTGCTTTATTATGTGCAAATATGTGCAGGTGTTCTAGCTGAATAGAAAAGGATATTGGTTTAATATCAGCAAGTCTCCTTCTAAAATATTTCTTGTCCCAGGGACCACTTTCATTCTTGCTGTTCATTCGTAGTGAGGAATTGTCACATAGTGGTTAAGGAAATGAGCTTTGAAGCCAGATCCAGGGATTTTGCATCCTGTCTTTGGAACTTACTAGCATCTCTCTGTGCCCCAATTTCCTCATCTATAAAATAGGGAAAATAACAATAATGATTATAATAATAGGGATAATTCTAGTCATAGGTTTGTAACTAGAATTAAATATTAAATGAGTTAATGTTTTCATTGCTTAAGAGACTTCCTGGTACACAGTAAATTTATATGTTTTGTTAAATAAAAGAAATAAATTATATTGCCACACTTCCATCATCTTTTCTACATAACCATTCTTTCTATTTTTCTTATTTCTCTTGTATCACTTCACAGTGTTAGCACTATCTTATTTACTTTCTGTGCCAGAGGTCAGTTATATTCTTTGTGGGAGACATGTGAGTCATTAGCTATGGCCACTAAAATTTGGGGAATTAAAGTGAAGCAATAGGTTCATTCCTCACCCTCATACATTCTATAGCAGTTGTCTAATATTGCTGTCCTGAGCTACTTATTTTTCAGTGGATATAAGACATGATCACAAAATATCTGTATTTAATGAAGTATCGTGGTAGCCAAGATATTGTCTGTACTCATAATCAGAATGCCATCATAATAGAAGAATATTTTCACAAGCAAGACAATGTCTATGGGAAGTCATAGTAAAGCATGACAAGACCCCAAGATATATACCAGTTTTATTTTGCTTCAATTTTTGGACAGAATATTATTATTTTAGAATTTCTAGCTCACTGAGCATTAAAATTGCTATGAATCTGGGGTAGGGAAGGTGGAGGGAGAATTTATTATGGAAGGGAAAAAACATCAAAACAATCTAAAATACCACATTACAAAAACATAAGAACTCCATGCTAACTGGCATATGTATACAGCACATGCAAAGCTGGTCAATGACCGTTTTGTGAGTAGCTCTCTATTTCCTTTAAGTGCTGCACAGATGTTAGCATGTTTGCTACAACAAATGTTTATGAGCCCATTGGCCCCTGTACATTGAAAAGGTGCTCTGAGTGATTTGACTTTATCTTCTGATATTGATCGAAACTCATGTTAATTTTTGAAAATCTAATTTGAAACTTCAAAATATGTACTTCAGTTGTGTACCTTAGCATTTTCTGAAGGCTCTAACAAAAATGCTAATTTTTCTTATAAGGAAATGAACACTTTCTTTACCCAAAGAATCAGTTGACCTATGATTTCATGGTTCACACGTTACGTTCATTAGTTGAAGAGTTGGCTTTACATCTGGAAACCATTCTGCTTTATGGGGCACTATTGTAGCACTTGTGCATTTAAGGAAAAAAAAAAAAACCCTCAAAGTCACTATCTGTATCATTAATTTTAATTAATTGGCATTATCAAATTATTTAAGGATTTCAATGAAAAAATAGAAATAATTTAAATTTCAGGTTGAACTCTAGCTTCAGTAGTTTCTATTTTCAGAAAGCTGTTTTTAAATCCCCCAAACGAGTAATGAATATCTTGTTAAAGCTGAGCTACTTCATAAGGAAACTTAAAAGCTTATTTATAAAACAAATATTTTCTTTAAACTTTTCAGAGGCAGGCACTGTATTTATCAAAAACAAGGTTGAAAAGTCCCTATCTCGGGCCGGCCCGGTGGCGCACTGGATAGTGCACTGCTTGGGAAGCGCGGCGGCGCTCCCTTCCGAGGGTTTGGATCCCACATACAGACCGGCTCCCGCTCACTGGCTGAGCGAGGCGCGGGAGCAACACCGAGGCTTGCGATCCCGTTGCCGGTCCCCGGTCCGGTACGGGGGCAACACTGAGGGTTGCGATCCGTTGCCGGACACGGAAAAAAGACAAAAAGACAAAAAAAGAAAAAAAAGGAAAAGTCCCTATCTGTACCTGCATAGGAGTATTATATATACAGTGTAACTCACCACTCTATGTGTATCTTAAATTGCAACTGAAGCCTCAGGCAGTAAGAACAATCAAGGCTGTCAGATACTTAAACGACATACCTAATAAAAGAGCCTCAAGAAAAAAGAACCCACTATGTAAGAAACCATTGTGTCTCTAACAAGATTTTAACTTTGTTAAAAATGAAAGAATCAGTAATTGGTAAGGAATTAGTAGAGTTAATTATAGGGCACTCCATTTAGTAGAATATACTACTTGGCTAGATAAAATATTGCTGATTGAGCATCTTCTTATTCATGGAGGACAGATGTTGCATAACAATGCCTAATTCTATCTGCCTTCTAACTATTTTTCCCAGTCATACCTTATGTCATAATGGTAGGTCAAATTTTGAAGGTGCGTGTTTTAAAACTGTGTACTTTTTCTCAAAACTTCTATTCTGAAGACTACAGTAGATTCTCAATCAAGGAGTCAATAAACTGATAATGAAATTCTGAGATGCCTCTTTAATACAGATGTAGATAGGTTATTATATTATGTTCACCTTGTATTCTGCAACCTCACCATTTTCTTGAGACTAATCAGAGGTGCAAAAGTCAGAATTTGAAATTTGGCAAAACATCACTAATTCAGACTTGAGTAATTTAAAACTTGTGACAATTTGGACAGATCCTGGTTGCAATTTACCTTTAATAAAATTAAACATTTCTTCCCACAGTTCATAAATTAATGCTGTAACTCTTCCCAAAGAGCATAAATTAACTCTGTGAAATATTGTAAGATGTTATTATTACAAAACACATGGCTTTCATAAATTTCAGAAGCACACAAAAAATAAATAATATACAAATGTGATTCTCCTTCCATTTCATTTGGGTTGTTTTTCTAATACTTTAGATCTGTATTTATGTAACTACATTTTCTGAATTTATGTCCCTTGTAACAAATAAAAGACATCTGAAAATAACTAGGTAGAGGACAATTTATAGTTATTAATTTGGCAACCCAGGGATCAGATTTAAGACCTTAAACTTATTAACAACAGTAAGTTAACCAGCCACAGAATCCCGAACAGCATACAAATGTTTAGACTTTGGTCTCCTCACTCCATTTCTTAAAAATCCCTGTGTGGTTCAGAAAACAATACCCCCAAGTATTTCTCTCTCTCTGGAAGTTCCCTTATCTGACTGAGAAAACTTCTTCCAAAAGAAATACAATTGTATTAAACCCCCCTCCTTAGGAATCTCATTAAACAACCAGAAAGATTAACCACCAGAGAAGAGATGGATTTTTCATCTATTCTTCTGAGGCCAGCTCAGAGAGGTTACCTGGGAGCTTTATCTGCATAATAAGACAACCTTGTTCACAGTGAAGCTTTGCCCCTCACCTTCTGCAATCTGTCACCAGCTACCCCAGAGCTCAGAGGAACTTTGTCCTGGTCCATTGTCTGTTCTTTGGGCTTTTCTCTAAAAGTTATTTCTTATTCCCTTAAAATTGTCTACTCTCCCTCATCCCCCTCTTTTCTATGAAGAGGATGCTATTTAAGCTTCAGCCATTTGTCCCTTCTCTGAGTCTCATATTTTGTATGACTCCTGAACACAATTGCAAGTTAATACATATGTATGTCTTTTCTTCTGTTAATCTATCTATTATCAGTTCATTTTAGCAAATCTTCACAGGGCAGAGGGGAAGTTTTCCCTTTGCCTTGGCATCCCTTTATAGCCTCTACTAGGAAAACAAATTTGAATGGATTTGTTAGTCACGTTTTGAGGTGTCCAGATTGAAATGAGTAAAAGTGGCTTCTTTAAAAATATATTATAATTTGATTTTTAAAAACAAATTCTGACTGGTTTCCCCCTGAACTAACTTGTTTTAGTAAGGTTTTACTGAAATTTGCCTGATTAACATAAAAACAAATTCTACTATATTATACTAAACCTTAAATTTAAGTCATAAAACAATTCTCAATTTTTTTCAATTCATGATCCTAGCACTAGACTTAAACATCAGTGGAATAGAAAATCATTTAGAATAGACTTTTAGAGGAATGCTTGTACCTAATCCAACAAATGGACTAACTCCACTATTATTATCAAACCACACTAGAAAGCAATAGTTATTTACTGTCATATTTTCAACACTATAACACAAAACCACCTGAAGAAACTTTATGGAACATGCACTTACAAACACTTCTTAAGAACATTTCTTACACATTTATAAAAATCATTTAGAAGGAAGAGAGAGGAAAAATCAAGTGTTTCTTTCATACCTGTGGTTGGGGGTGAGTCCAGATCTCCACAGTTGTTGACTCTTTTGTGGGCGTTCGAGATCGTACAACCTCTTTCATTGGCTTTAGAAAGGAAGACAAAAGAAGTATTTTTAAAGCTGTTTGTTAAAAGTAAACAAACACAGGACATTTCACACAAGTATTGCCCACAGGTAGCTAAAATATTGTACAGGTAAATTATCACTTTCTAGATATCATCGTTTATTTATTCAACAAATGGTTATTGAGGGTTTACAATGTGCCAGGGGCAGTCTAGGGTACTGACAGTAAGAAAGAGAAAAAAGAAAAAAGAAAAGAAATCCCTTTTTTCACGGAGTTTACATTCCAGTGTTACATTTGTGCTCTATTAAACACATGAATGGAATTGTGAAGGACAATTTATAATGTTTAAATAAATGAAATTTAAGCTGGAGAGACTTTCAGTGCAATGTTTTTACAATTCAATGGCTTCAAGAGCTATATTTGTGAACACACCATTCTCTCAAATTAAAATTTATCCTGTGCATACCACCATAACACAAATTTGTTATCTGCCATACAAAGAGGTTTAATAAATGTGATAAATGCCAAGGAATTTATGAACCAATACACCAATGTTAACCTACAACCCATTTACTAAGGTCTTAAAAGGATGATATCTATATCCATTCAACTTACTTCGGGACATAAGAGTATGTTCTGTTTTCAAAATACTGAGTAGATGTGATACACATTTTCTGCATATGTGATTTTAGCCTATGGGGTAAAGGATTTGGTAAAAGTTATCATTTGATCTATGAAAGGCAGAAAATCCAACTCAGCAGCTCTTGGATGCTTTCGTGCTACAATAGCAGAGTTGAGCAGTTGTGGCAGAGACCTTATGTCACACTCTATAAATTGTAGATGCAACAGGTTTCCAAATGCCACATGTATCACCTTACTATAACAGTCTCTTTTATTTATTTATTTTTATTACCAGTGCATGCCCCTTATGTCAAAGCCAGAAAAGAAGAAAAAAATCAGATTTGGAACGTCATGCTTTGAAGGCAAATGATCAAGAATTATTTTGTTATTGAATTAAATGGCAAATCATGTTTTTATAATGACACTAAAGCTGTGATAAAAAGAGTACAATACACGTTGACATTACCAGACTAAGCACTCATCACAATATTCCAACTCACAAGAAAGTAACAGTCAAAAAAAAAAAAAACAATAGAAAATTAAAATGGAACATCTCATGATAGCAGAATTTCTTCACAAAAAATAACAAAAAATGAAAACGAGGTTGTGACCACAAGTAAGTTTCCGAAAGGCTCATTTGTTAACCAAGCAGAGAAAACCATTTTCCTGTGGTGAGTGAATTAAATTGTGCTTTCTCACAACAGTTGAAGAAATGTGTGCAGGAAAAAAAAAAAAAAAACAACTTAAAACTATCAGCTTTCTGGCAAGTACAATTACTCAGAAGTTGAGGACATTGAGAGCAATATCAACAGTGAATTAGAAAATAAAAACAAGGGCAAATAATTTGAAGTGGTTTTTCTTGTCTCTTCATGAGTTAACAGATGTTACCAACAATGCTCAGTTGTTACTTATATGAGGAAGCAAGGTCAAGTTTGAAGTGACTGAAGAATTAGCCTCTATGAATAGTCTTCATGGAATAGAACAGGCAAGAACATTTTCAAAGAAATTGAGAAAACACAAATTTGGTAAAACCTGAAGGGGCATCTGCTAAGAAGTGTTACTACTGATTGTGGGTAAAATATGTGTGGGGCAGAAAGAAGCTTAGTTGAACAAAACAAAGCATGTAAAAATTTAAGGTGTTTAAAGGCTATGGTTATTTGTTGTATTATACATCAGCAGGTACTTTGTAGAAAATATTTGGATCTATCATGTGCTATTGAACCAGTAGGGTCAATAGTGAACTTCATTCACTGTTGTGAACTGAACCATTGTCATTCGGTAAACTTTTGTCAAAAATACGAGCTGAATATACTGACTTGCACTATCAAATAAGCAGTTAAATGGCTTAGCAGTGGTAAAGTTATAAGGAGATTGCAATTTTTCTGAATGAGAAGCACCCTCGACCACTATTATCAAACACTGAATCACTTTTGAAATTAATTTTTGCTGCACACTTGATAATGTCTCTTAATAAATCAACCCACAATTACAAGGCAAAACAGTGCTTACATGTGACACATATGGCACTAGTCATTATGGCAATTAAAGTTGTTTGAATCACAAGTAATGTCAAGCTACTTAATACATTCCAGAACTTCAAAAGTTAAAACAAGAAGCAAAATTTCCATCCTCACACAAATTTGCAATGAGTTGTGACAAGTATGCAATTGAGGAGATTTACCCAACCTTCAATGGGAAACGATTAATCTTCAATGTAATGGTATGCTAAGTGGCAAAATCAAGAAAAGAATCTAATATAATTCTGCAAATGCTTTCCAAGAGATAGATGTGCTCAACTGAAATCATATGCTTGTGGATTCATGTCAGAATTTAGCAGTAACTATCTGTGTGAGAAGACATGTTCAGAGATGAGATACACAAGTCCATTCACCTCGTTAGTAGACCTGTATTGCATAAAAATTGTACTCTATGATTATTATTTAAATTACATCAGTAAAAGTTTTCTGAAAATTTATGTTCTCTTTTCTTATATAAATACCTACTTCATGGCTTTTAAAGAAAAAGTCTGTGGACTCCTGATCTAGGAGGAAAAGAAAGACATACCAATAACTATGACTAATAGATAATTATTTGAAATAAGTAAAGTCTGGGAGACTTTAGATAAAGAGGATGAGTAAGAGTTCCTTTTTTTTTTTTTTTGGCAGATGAAGAAACATGGTCCTAGGCAGGGAGACCCAGGAGGTGGTCAGTATGACTGAAGTGCCAAAGAGATGTTGAAGAATGGTGGGACAAATGCACGTGAAAATAAATTAAATGCATACTCTAGATGGACTTGCAAACTTAAGTGGTGAGTTTATACTTACATAGGAAGCAAAGTGAAAACACTCAAATGTGTTTGATCAACATGTTGTGGGCCATAGGAGTGTTCAATAGACCTGTACCTGGGTCTCACATTTAACTTTAAAAAAAAGTCTATTCAAGTTGCATTATCCATTCACATTTTAAGAATCTGATTTAAACTTTCTCTGTCAACTCTAAGCAGTCTGATGTCTGTCTGAGCTGCCCTCTGTTAAATACATAATGCTGCATTCAAATGTCCATCAAATTAAGTTGGGATGTATTTAGATTATTACAAGTTTAAATCTATGTGATGTGTCTTGCTCATTTCAATTAGGCAACTAAATATGTCTATTGTATAATATGCTTCAATATTCAAATATTAAGAAAAGTTTATTGAAATTTGTTTTGTCCAAAAATAGCAACTTGAAGGTAAAATAGTACCCCCATGCCTGCCAAAGCCTCATCACTCTTCCCACCAAAACACCACAGTTATAAGACTAGGAAATCATCTAATAGGAAAACTCCAGTATACAGAACTGCTGAGGATTAACTATAATGTCAGTGAGAGAAATGGCAATTGCAGGAAATCTTAGTGCTCAACTACATTTATTCTTGACTGTTTTAAGGAAATGAAATATGGTCCATCAGTGACACCTGAGAAATAAAATGCAGATCTGCATTTCTGTTTCCTTACATGTACCAAGTACTAAACCAAACTGTATCTTCCCTTTTATGGAATTAAATGTCAAGCTGTCAAGAAAAGAGTAAAGTGCTTTTTAATAATCACAGTTTTTGTAGAGTTAAGCCTCATTTTAATCCAGTTCATATTAAGACAGTGCTCAGTGCCAAAAAGTGAGAAGTGTGTCTTACCAATGATCTTAAAGAGTTTTGAGAAGTGTCATTGGTATTATTGCTAATAATAAAAAAAATAATACTTCCGAGAGAAGGATGGATAGATATTGTATCTTATTATTATTCCTGAGTTAGAGATTACTAGTTCATAATTTAGACATTGGAAGGGAATTTGGCATCGTTTAAAATTGGGTTAACTTCTTCAAGCACAAATACATTGTCTCACCGGTGATGCCGTGTTGGCCTAAAGAAATAAACGTATGTGAAAGAAAAGGGGTTCATTTATATTATTTCACCTGTCAGAATCTAGATATTTAATGGTTTGAAAATTGTCTATAATCTGCCTGAATGATTTTATTTATGGAGGAGATGGAAAGAGCCTGGCTCGTAAGGAGCATCCATTCAGAATAAATGCCCAAAATTCTATTAAAATCCCCCAAGTTTTTTGTTCACACCAAGAAGTAAGGAAATTTTAAGCCAAATTTACATTCACGGAAGTGTGAGTTATAGCACAAAATATATAGTGATATAGCTTTTGTGAAAAATAGAAAAACTATTTCCAGCTGCCAAAGGATTTAGTCTTTCATGAAAACAAACTCTTACAGGTGACCTAAAAGAGTAAAAATCACTTTACAATATATAACTTCCTTGCCAAAAATGGCTTATGAAGCATGATAATTTGATTGAAACTTCTAAATCTGGCAGGTCGTCTTTTTTGCTGTTCTTCTCAACTGGTTTCCTGACAGTGTCTCACAGAAGCTGAGCTTCAGAAACTTGATGTATTAACTGCATTCCTTAACCTGACTAATCCCTAAGCTACTGGGTGAGGCCAATCCAGACTGATTTTGTGTTCATTTTAAGAAGGAATATGGAATGCATCATTTCTTCTCCCAACTGGAAATTTTATTGTGACTCAAACCTGATGGTAGGAAAATTATTGTCAGTATAACATAATGCTATTTCTGATTACAGTCTCAACATTACAGTATTGTTTTAAAAGCTAGCAAAAAGAGAATCCAGAGAAGCTTCAGTATATTCAGCAATTACATTTTCTCAAATGTAGCACGTTTTCTACTAGAAACGTCAGTATGCTGCCGTTTTCTGGGTAATCATACACACCCCGGGAATCTGGTTTTATGGATATGTGACATTCTAAATTGTCACAGTCATCACTTTAGCTACCAAAGCAAATTTAATTGATAGATTATTGCTATGTTATTGCCATAGAGTTGACGTATTGACAG